AAAACTGGTGGGAAGAGAATTTCTGTGAATGACTTCTATGCTCACATAGATAATGTTTCATTTCATTTTATGACAGGTGTTCAGAAGTGGAAGTATGTTTTCCAAACAAGGATTGATTGTGAAAGAGAGATAGGTAAGTAAGCTCTTGATTATAAAGAAATCACGGAGTTAATAAAAGTTGTTGGTTCTTGCTATGAAAATCCAGTCAAGGAATTCATTATGAATATTACTGTTGAGTGTAATGTTGAAGGCTGTAAGGAGTATATAAAGGTGTATGACAGTGGAAATTGAGTTGAAGTTTTCCCCTTCAATCATTAATGACTATTTTGATAGAAGTAAGTATGCAGGGTCTGTTAAGGTTTTCTATATTTGACAAGATTATGACAAAGGAAAAGGAAACTGCAAGTGAGGATGAAGAAAAGCATTATGTTGAAACACTAAAGTATAATGAAATTATGGAGCTTCTTAGTGATGCTTAGTTGTTGAAGACATTGCTGAATGTTAGAGCTTGTTATCCTAAGTTGATAAAGAAATTTGTGGTTAAGAATGATGATATTCATCATGGGTTACTGAGGTTCAATTATAAGATGCTTGTTGGGAAAGATGTTTTAGACATTATGTCTAACATCTGTGCACCTGTTGATGAAACTGATACAATGTTTGATGAAGATATGTTGAAACATATGTGACTAGGAAAACGTATGTCACAAGGATGAAGTCCTTAAGGAAGATACATGTGCAAACACATGATCTGACTTAGATGCTGATGAAGATTGGGTTACCTTCACGGATTCAGGTGGATCTTGTCTGAAGATTGATTTATCTAGGTGTTTTTGTTATGTTCTTTTAAATCTTGTGTATGAGCATATATTTGTTTTCTTTTTTCTGGATCTATAAGGGTTTGATAACCTTGTGTTTTTGCAGTTCTAATGCTCTACCATATTGTTCATCATTTGTGATATTGGTTGATGTTTATCTACTATTGCGTGTATGTGCTAATATAATGACATATGTGTTAAATAACTGAATTTTCGGGACCATGCCTTTGCTAAATTATGGCAAAAGAGGGAGTAATGATGTGTAGTTGAATGGTGTGACTACTAATGAACTATGGACTTTGCGGTGTATATGTTCTGTTGATATATGCTTTCAATTGTAAGCTTAATACTAACACTAACTGGCTGGTGCAATTGGTACTAATTGTTATGTGCACACATGCTAAAGTATCTGGCCTGACATCTAACCCTAAACTTTGTGTGCTGATATATTTGTATTAATAGTACCTGCTGATTCTAACTTGACTACTAACTATGTGTGTATGCATGACTAACTGATCATGAATGATTTCATGAGTGACTGTTTTGGAGCATTGACTATGTGTTGCAACCACTTGACTTCTGACTGTGCTATTAACTTCTGTTGTTGCTATTGTTTGCTATGCATACAAGTGTGTACTGTACTGAATGTTCAACTTATGATGCACATCTTGTATGTTTTTGGAAGTGTTGTTTTACCAAAATTTGCAAAAGGGGGAGATTGTTGTTCCTTTATAAATTGGATGCATTATGAAAAACAACATGGTATCAACACATGTTGAACATGATGTTCTAGCTGGTGTGACACATCTGTCTCCAACTACTTTTGTGAAGAGATGACACATGTGGAAACAAATGTCCCAACATATGGCCTTTGTTTGCAAGACAAGGTTGTTTTTGTTTTGGCGTGTATTTATGCAGCACTGTGCAACAAGATTTGTTGCTATCTTTTAGAAATATGCAATGTAGTTTGTTTGACACCTGTTTGAAGATCAAATCAATTTAAATGGAGATTTGAATTAAAAATAAATCATATCTTTTGTTGGATATTTTTATGGAAGAAATCAAATCCAACTATATATCTTATTATTCTGGACTAAAGCATAACTGATATTAAAAGGAGAAAAACCCCATAATTGTAATTTTATTTAAGGAGGATCTCACCTCATCATTGGGTGTGTGCGTTATGATTAAATATCTTTGTGCTAGGGTTTATTTGAGTCTTTTGTTTGTGTTTCTTACACACCACATTATTACTTCATTCATATCAATAGTCATAGTAGTTGGTTTGTTTAGTTGAGTTGTAAATTCAACATTGATCATCCAGATTATGGTTGTTGATCACTAGGGTTGGTGATTGAAAGAAAGTGATATGGGTTTCTCATATTTGGAGGGAGTCTTAAATAAAAATACATCGAGGGTAGAATTAAGAAGTGGGGCATTGAGCAAGTGGCTTGTTCATCTAAGACATATTATACTAATTCGATTAAAGAGTGAATTTTCTTTCTTGGGTAGTATCCCCCAGACGTAGGTTTGGTTTCACCGAGCTAGGTTAACAATTCATTGTGTTCTTTATTACTTTAATTGTTATTTTCTAACTATCTTGCAAACTAGTTTTTTTTTCAGGCATACAATGTCCCAGACATCACCTCTGACATTTGTTCCCAGAATCTATCATCTGTCATAAACTAGTTGAACACGTTATCCCAGACATATGGTCTAACATCTATCCTCTTGAGAACAAAATTTTAAGGTTTGTTGTTGGTCCAACAAACATGAATAACTGGTCCATATGTCAAATGGATGTGAAATGTGTATTCCTCAATGACCCTCTATACAAATAGGTCTATGTAACACAACCAGTTAGTTTTGTGAAGCAAGGCCAAGAAGGAAAAGTATACATACTGCATAAATCCTTGTATGGACTCAAGCAAGCTCCGAGAGCTTGGAATAAGAAGATAAATAACTTTCTAAGGAAGAAAGAGTTTATAAAGTGCACAACTGAGTTACTTATACTTTATCTCTATATAGATAACCTCTTTATAACAGGAAGTTACAAGTAGGAGATCAAAGATTTCAAACATGTCTTAAGTAAGGAGTTTGAAATGTATGACTTGGGAAATATCTCATACTTTCTTAATATTGAATTCTACAAGAATAGTAGAGGCTTGATGATGCATCAAAGAAGATATCAGGTGAAATACTCAAGAGATTTAAGATGGAAGATTGCAATGAAACTTCAACCCCAGTTAAACCAAGATTGCAACTGATGAAAGATTTGACAAAAGATGACGTTGATCCAACATAATACAAAAAACTTATTGGAACATTAAGATACCTCTGTCACACAAGACTTGGTTTAGCCTACAATGTAGGCGTGGTAAGTAGATTCATGCAGAAGCCAAATATATCTCATCTTGTAGCCACCAAGAGGATACTAAGGTACCTCAGAGGAACACTAGATCATGGCATTTTGTTTCATGCAGTAGATGAAGGAAAAGAATGCAGACATGTAGGATACATTGAATTTAATTTGTGTGGTGATGCTGAGGATAGAAAATTCACAGATGGATACATGTTCATGTTAGGTGGTGCACCAGTTGCTTGAAGTTCAAGAAAGGAACCTGTTATAAGATTATCATCACGTGAGGTTGAATACATAGTTACATCTCTCTATGTGCATGCCAAGCAACATGGATGGTGAATCTGGTAGAAGAAATCACAGGAAAAAAATCATAGAGCAATGACCATGAAGATCGACAACATGTCTGCTAACAACCTGGCAAAGAATTCGATAACACATGGAAAAAGTAAGCACATTGAAATGAGATTTCATTATCTAAGAGAACAAGTAGTGAATGGAAAGTTGAGCCTGGAACACTGTAGATCAGAGAATCACATTGCAAACACAACGACGAAGGTTGTGCATGTCGAACGAAAAACCAACATAAATTAATGTCAAAATAAACATTACATAGATAATTATTAGATAAATTTAATATTACATGTCAATAAAAATAGGTGGTTCAGAACGCTGCAACATTCTTATAACATCGACTAATATTTGAATTGTCGTATCCATTTCAATCAGACCCTCTGTTGAGTTATGATAAAAGGTACTTCAGATAACCTTCACATCATCATTCGTCTTCGATTCAAGCATGATGAATTGTATCTTTCATTCGTTGTCTATCGAGGGTGAATGATACTCAAACTTGACAAATCTATGATTTTTTAGATAGCATATGAGAGTATTCATTTTGGTTTTCAGATCGACAAGAAGTATGTACTCGCAGATCTAAAATTGAAGTGAAGAATTTTGCGGCATTAAAATACACAAATGCAAGATGAAAATATGGTCATCCTGATTTGCGTAAAGAAAATGGATTGAGACCCCATTTATAGAAGTTGTAAAGCAATAAGGATCTTACATACAATATCATATATGTAGGGTTCAGAAATACATATCTGAATTCATTTTTTTCTTTCAAAAATTAAGGGCTTATTCAAAGATATCACTGAGTTGTTATTTAAACCAGTTGAGTTACCTCATAAATGTGTGTAAGGAGTATTTCAAAGATACATCTTTAAATACACTCAAACAGTATACGAAATGTATCTTCAAATTATAATTTTTTAAAAACTGAATGACATTCAAAAAATAAAAAATTGATGTAATTTTAAATACGCCCGAAGATATATATTCGAATATATGAAAAGACATTTTTGAATTTGTAAAGTGCAAAGACACCACCAAAATAGAAATAACATTCCTCCTTTGAAAAATCACCTCTATAATCACTAATGACAATTAAAAATGAAAAAAATGAAAAACATAGTAGCTGCCAACCAAATCAATGAACGAAACAAAGTCAAAGTGAATGAGTCTTCGCCCGTCCCACTAAAATAAAGTGCCGTCCATCACCCTTCAACCCATCCTAACGGTAACAACAAAACCAAACCAAAGCTAAACAAAACATAGTCAAACAAAACAAACACCAAAAACAACTCCTACGTTGTGCTGTCCCATGAAACCGTCTTTGTTTCTTACCACTCAACACAGTTTCCCGCGTCACCATTATTCTTTTCTTTTCTTCCCTCCCACTCCTTCTCCCAACACCCTTTCAACAACAACAACACTTTTCCATAACAACCTCATTCTCCTCGAATTCAATATTTCCAACCATGTCCTTCTTTTTCCTCCTCCTTCTCTTTCTCTTCTCCCATTTTCTCACCCCCTCTCTTTCTCAACCACCTCCCCTCAAAGGCTTCCTCATCAACTGCGGTTCTTCGTCAAAGACCATCATCGATAACCATTCATGGCTTCCCGATTCAAACTTCATCTCATCAGGCACACCCAGAAACATAACCTCCTCAGTTCTAATTCCAACGCTCAGAACCCTTCGTTCTTTCCCTCATCAAGTCAAAAAACACTGCTACAATATTCCTGTGTATCGCGGTGCAAAGTATTTGGTGCGGACTACTTTTTTCTACGGAGGAGTCAACGGTCCTGATCACCCTTCGCCGCCGGTGTTTGATCAGATCGTTGACGGGACTCTATGGACCGTGGTTAATACTACAGAAGATTATGCTCATGGAAATTCAACTTTTTATGAAGGGGTTTTCTTAGCTAAGGGCAAGTTTTTGAGCTTCTGTATTGGATCAAATAGTTATACGGATTCTGATCCGTTTGTATCTGCTTTGGAGTTTTTGATTCTTGGGGATTCACTTTATAATACTACTGATTTCAAGAACTTTGCTATTGGTTTGGTTGGTAGACACAGCTTTGGTTACTCCGGTGTACCGATTAGGTTGGTGAGATTATTATCATTTGGTTATAGCTGTATTTGTCTGATAAGTTTTCTCTCAAGTTTTTGGTAACCTGGTGTTGCGACGCCAATTGCGGTCATCGCAGTGTGATTTAACCTCACAATTCTTGTTCAAATTTTTTAGTCATCTCTAATTTCGGTTTTGTGATTTTTTGTTATTAGATATCCTGATGATCAATTCGACCGTATTTGGGAGCCGTTTGGGCAGAGTAATACAACCAAAGCAAACACTGACAATGTTTCCGTTTCTGGCTTTTGGAATCTTCCACCTTCAAAGGTATTCGAAACACATCTAGGATCGGATCAGTTAGAATCCTTGGAATTGAGATGGCCTACGGCATCACTGCCAAGGTCGAAATACTACATTGCTCTATACTTTGCTGACGACGCTGCTGGATCAAGAATTTTTAACATAAGTGTAAATGGTGTACATTATTACCGCGATTTGAATGCAATCCCATCCGGCGTTGTTGTCTTTGCCAACCAATGGCCTCTTTCTGGTCCTACAACAATAACTTTAACTCCTTCAGCTAGTTCATCTTCGGGGCCCCTAATTAATGCCGGTGAAATTTTTAATGTCTTGTCTCTTGGAGGAAGAACTTCTACTCGCGATGGTATATCTTCTTAGCGTGCTTGCATGTTAATCACGAACGTAAAATGTTTTGAAAAATTTGTACTTTCTATTGACAGTTATTGCTCTGGAAAGGGTAAAAAAGAGTCTTCGAAATCCTCCACTTGATTGGAGTGGCGATCCTTGTATGCCTCGACAATACTCATGGACCGGTGTCACATGCTCAGAAGGATCCAATATTCGTGTAGTGACTTTGTAAGCTCAGATTTGAGTAGTTATTAGTTACAGCATAACACTAATACTGCATCCTTTCAATTGAATTGAATTACGTCGTGTAAATGAATGACTTACTCTTGGTTTCGTGTTATTTTCAGAAATTTGACGAGTATGGATCTTTCTGGATCTTTATCGCCTTTTGTTGCCAATATGACAGCTTTGACAAACATGTAGGTTCTCGGGCTTAAATGTATCCGTTCATGAAATGTAATATTTTATTGTGTTTTGATCCGGAAACCATTTCCTTGTTGCAGCTGGCTTGGAAATAACAGTTTATCTGGGCAGATTCCCAACCTCCGATCGTTAACAAAGTTGGAGACGCTGTAAGTTTATCTTCTTAGCATATGATTCATTACGTTGTATGGAAATTCACATCATCGCATCACTCAAGTGTTTGAAATCTGAGATAACTTCAATTTATTCATAGAGTTTGGTATTCGAATATTGTTTTTGTGTTTTAAGGCACTTGGAAGACAATCAATTCAGTGGAGAGATTCCCTCGTCCCTTGGAAACATCGGCGGCTTAAAAGAAGTGTAAGTTCTACTTCTACTCGTTATTACAACCAACTTGCTTTTCCCTTGCTGTTAGTAATCGATTCGCTGTATTTTGCTGTAAGCAGATTTTTACAAAACAACGATTTAACCGGTCAAGTTCCAGCAAACCTCATTGGAAAACCGGGATTGATCGTCAGGTAAATAAGTAAACCTTTTCAAATGTTGCCATCACGAGTTCTACAATTGTTAGTTTTCTGATATCTGCGTATATTTATCAACAGAACTTCTGGAAATAATTTCTTGTCACCTCCAGCACCTTGAAATAAAGACTTTCTCTCTGTCAAGATTCTTTCGCACTTAGATTATTCTGAATTTCATGAAAATTCTTAATTTTCAACACTAAACCGAAGATCAAAGTTCAATTCAACTTTCTCTTGTTGAAGAGCATACAGATTTATTGTTTGGGCTTGAAGTATACTTTCATATAGGCGTAACAGATTCGTTCAACTTTGGTTCTCGGTTCCTTGAAAATTGTAATGTTCTTCGAATTTGTATCTTTACATATCATTGTATAGTCATTATTTATTATTTTATAAGAAAAATTTAAGCTGTTTTACAAACATAAACATGTCTATAGATAATCACTTTTCCTATTGTGATTAAAGATAAGTCTTTTAAAGTGATAGACAAAAATATTCCTTCAAAAAAATATTCCTCAGAAGTCACATCTCAATGATTAGAATTTAGACTTAAGGCCATGCATCTGAACACACCTAGATTATATCCTGACCCATCTCTAAAACTAATAGCCCCTTGTGCCATATAAAGGTAGGTTCTAATTTAGTCCTGGCTAGGCGTGCGCCGAAATAATTGTACAATCAGTGTTTTAAAAACCGAACCAACGAAATCTCTAGAATTGCGCTAAGGCCATTCAAATAACTGAAGTGTAAAGGATATTTACGAACCATTTTGTTCGGCTTTAAAATATCAGTTTCTCAAAAAGATCTTACCACTTGTTGATAATTGATTTAGCATTCTCTGATGAAATGTTTGTGGCTGATAGATACTCATCATCATGTGGGACTCACATGCTGAGAAACTCTGCATTCATCATGTGAAATTTCTACTTAGCAGAAAAATGTTATTGGAATCTAGTGATGCCAAATCCAATGCAATGCATGCATAATCTCAATGATTATACAAGTCAGAAAATTTACATTCTAATAATTTCTCAGATCCATTCAAATTAACACCTATTCTCTTTTCTTTTCAATTTTGTTACAAAAATTAACACCTATTCTACACAAGCCAACATTAACATTGTTTGTTGAAATAAAAGTAATAAAACAAATAAGCAAAAAATTAACAAACTTATTTCAAAACCCTGAGGATCAAACTTGAACTGCATAATCATTGAACTTTGAAGTTGATTACATTACCTCTCTAATTTACCCTTCTTAAGTGGAAATAGTGGAGGCAAAGCACTGTTCTTCATTTGTGTACAAATTGGAACATTAACCATTGGTCTAATTCTAATAGTAGCTGATCTTGTTCTCTCCAACCCTTTCTTTATCCTCTTCACATGTTGATTCTCTTTGTTCCTCGAGCCTTCTTTAGCAGCCGCGTCCCCGAGCGAGCTAGCGTTTGACGACGAAGACGATGAAGACGAGGAAGGCGATAAAGAAGAAGCTCTTTGTTTCTTCAACCTTAATAACTCTTTCCATAGAACAGTGCATTTTGGTGGCCTTGGTGATGGATCATCATCAACAAACCAATTTACTCTACTACTATCTTCTTTGTTGTTCACTACAACTTCAATCACTTCCTCTTCATGTTCTCCTCCTTCTTCTTCTTCTCCTTCGATTTCTACTTCTACGTCTTTCGCTTTCAGGTTGATCTTGTTGAGCTTCTCTAGATGTTGCATCTGCCAAAAGGGAAGGATTTTGCCTTCAAAGAAAAGTTCATCAGCTGACAAAACAGTGCTGTTGCTGCTCATGTTGTTGTTTGACAGAAACTCAAACTGATCTGTGTTCTTTGTTTTTTCATGATGGTCTTTCTCTTGGTCTTTTTCCTTGTAAAGAGGATTTGGACTTATAGTGATGAAGTTGTTTTCATCTAGAAACTCTGCTGAGAAAGATATTCTAGGACTTGAAGGAGCATCACTAGATCTGAGGTTAACTTGAACAGGTTCAGGTTCAAGAGAGACCATGTTAATGTTCTTGATGTTTGTTTTGAGAGTACTAAGAGATGAGAGGAGAGGAGATTGAGAGGTTCTATTATATGCATGAGAATTGTGATGATTTATAAAAGGTGAAAAGAGTTTTTTTTTTTAAAATGGTATATTTAATTATTGGTTTATTACTTTGTTTTTTAACTTTAAGAAGTGTGTGATTATAAAAATGAAATGGTCTGGTTAATTTGAAACAGGTGACTTATGGTTCTGTTTAGAATATAGGGACAGCACATGGGTGCCTTGGGAAGTAAAAGACAAAAGCTTTTCATTAGCCATTTTCTTTCTTTTCAACAAAGTTTAGACTCTTAACTACATGTGTATGCATGCTTACTATTATGCACTCTCACAAAAGTGTGATGCATCTTTTTATTATAAAGGTGGGAAAAATTGATCACAACCATCTCGATCAAAGGATAAATATTTCTACACACGCACACACATTCATACTTTATATTTCAGTATATTTCTTTTTGAGTTTATTAACTGATTTGGTGTTAGAGTGTTAATCTTGCAGGACAATCTTTTATAGTCCATTGCATATGAGACTTGCACCACCATATTAGGAGTTTAACATTATAATATAAACATAATTCTGGTTCTCATGTCTCATCCGACGTGAGACTCATTAATACACTCTCTTATGCCCGTGCGTGCATATAAATGATAGCGGTTTATAGCAAAAACCCGATAATAAGTGACCAAACAAATTAGTAGACTGTTATATCAAATTTAAATTGAGTATAACTCAATCTTATAAACTGACTTATTAGATGAAGATTATGATGACTACTCATCTGATTTGGTCTGAGAATCCTTCTCGACTTTAATTTTTAGTCATAAAAAATGGTTAAGATTAAAATTTAAAGTTACTTGACTTTGTTTAAGTGACTCCAACTATACCATCTATAAGTGTAAGGTTACTAAATTGACCTTCCACCAGCCTAACTATCACATGCTCTTAGATTTAGATTTAGTATAGTACTATAAGTCAATGTCATTTGAAAGTAAGAATAGTTAAATCAGTAAGCATTTGGTGAAGTTAAAAGGATAGCCTAAATATACAATGATTATGTGCATTAAAGAAGTGCACACATCACAAAAGATAGAGAGATTACGTTATATTAAATCTTAATTAACAAATAAGCTTAAAGATTCTATTTATTAAAACTAAACTTGCTTAGTCAAAGAAACACAGGAATAAGATTGTTAATTTGACCCCCCTGCATGCAGGGATACAACATGGAGAAGTCCAAACCATGTGGCCACATGACCATAATTTCTAACCATGTGAGAACTGAGGTTAAAGATTGAACATATATTCATGAAAAAGACCAAAACAACCTCAAAACAAAGTTGGTCACAGCTGGTTCATATGTTATATTTTGTATCTACAGATGAGTAATTTGTCCTAAACATAGAAAAACAAGTTGTGTGAATCATCTCATGTTGATGCTCTTGGAAAAGCTTTGATTAAGATTTGGTGATTTGGTGAGGCTCTTAATTAATTTGTGACAGCTAATAAACATAGGAGTAAATCTTTCAATTATTACATATTGGCTACTTTTGTTCATAAGTACATTATCCTTGTGCCTTCAGTGGTCCTGCCTTAGACTATTATTGAAGTCGACAATAATGTTAAGTGACAGCAGTGTAAAAAACAAAAAACTTAAACATGTGATTTGTCATTAAATTATAGTACTGTTTAGTCATTATGTAAATCTTTAGCACTGCAGATACTCCTGCCAAACTCAATAAATTTCAAGCAAAATTACATATGGCCTATTACAAATAGGTCTTCTTTCTAATAATTCGATTTTATCTGTATTCCGCACAACACACTGCATCACCCGCGAACGGAATTTCATCATAACCAATAGATTTAGATAGTTTGACATGTAGAGACAAAATCTATAGATTCAATGATAAGAATAGTAGCTCAGATAGATAGAAGTCAAACAGTTAATAAGAAAAATTTTAAAAAAATTATTAAAAAAATCTCGCAATTAATTATTAAATAAAAATATGATCCTAAATAAAACATTGTTGTTACATGGAACGAGTGAAATATATATATATATATATATATATATATATATATATATATATATATATATATATATATATATATATATATATATATATATATATATATATATATATATATATATATATATATATATATATATATATATATATATATATATATATATATATATATATATATATATATATATATATATATATATTAAAAATAGACAAAAAAAATAAAAAGAGACCTTATTTTGACAAGTAACATATTTTGTATATTGTAATACTAGTGGTTGGGCTTTATTTGCTTTAAGATACAATATTCATAGGATTTTATCCAACATGTTATATGAAAATGGCATGTCAAGGTTTTAACCTCCTCAAGCCATTATTGTCAACAACAGAACTACTCCCAGTTGTTTACAGTTAATCTTTTTCACCTTAGCAGCAAATTCTTTATCTCATTATTCTTCTCACCAAGAAGCAATAATAAAAAATGAAAATAAAAACTGAGTGATAGATTTTGACATGTATCACTCAAGTATGGCCCACACATGTACTAGACAACTTAGTCTGTAACAGACAAGAGTAAAGAGTTATGCAACAATAACTTAAATAGTACCTTCCAATTCAGCTATTGGGATAGTGAAGCATGTGTTTGATTTAAGAGAAATAGGGACCACACTTTTGTTTTGTCTTTTTATTGCTTTGGAATTGAAACTAGTTGCACGTTTCAAGAGAAGAAAGAAAACCAATGTGGCTAAATTGAGTACTAGGAACAAGGGACCATAAATGAATAAGGTAGTGGTAATTCTATTAAAGAAAAGATTTCATGTCAATCATAGCTGTTACTTGTAAATGTAGAATGAGAAATGGGAAGAAAGATAGAGTAATGGTTTGATTTGACTTAGAGCCAAGTTAGTTTTATGAAATGAAGTGTGTTGGATATGCTGTCTAGGACTGATATTAGGTGAGTTTAATAATAATGTTTCTTTGCCAAAATTTAATGTCATTGAAAGTTTTAGTTTGTTAGCCCCTAGCTTTATTTTGGTTATTGTTACTTTTGTTAATAAGTTCAAATTTTATGCATGCTTTTGAATCTTTGTTAGCTTATGATAGGTTAGATTGACAATTTGAACTTACCTAAGCCAAGACTTCAAATTTTATTTTGTTGGTTTTTGATAAGATTACTAATTCATGTAAATAATAATGATAATATTTTTTAGCTTTATTCTTCTTAAAATAATCTATCTATTTATATAAAAATTCTAAGATTGACATTTTTGTTTTTTAAATGATTGATTTATATAAATTGAAAATTCTAATGTATCTATTTAATACTTACCAATTTGTTTACATTTTTTTCGTTATGACAAAATACAAATATATGTTAAAAAAGATGAGCTCTCTGCTATGGCAAATTTTTGAGTCAAATGGAAGTAACAAAGATGAGGAAGATCTTAAGGAAAGAAACACAAAAAAAGTGAAAAATAATAGGAAACAGGTCATGGGAGAAGAGGACGAGATGCAACAAAGCATGCATGGGAAAAATTCAGAGAAACAAGAGAATATTGGAGGAAAAACTTATAAGAAGATGGTAATGTGGACCAATAGCGATAACCCAGAGGAAGAGGAAGGAAGGGAAGAAGAGGAGGAAGACATGGAGACGACTATACTTGATCTAAAAAACATGAAGGTAAAGGAGCATGTCGAAGAACAATATACATGTCCCAAATTCATCTTTTCCAAACATGAAGAAAGAAGAATTCACAGACCTTGGCGTAGAGGGGTCATCGTAAAGCTGATTGGAAGAAGAACCAGGTACAAGGTGTTTGAGACGAGATTGAAGCAGATGTGGGTCAAAAAGGGAGTGATCAACATTATTTATTTGATTACGATTACTATATTGTTATCTTCTTTCATGATGATGATGATTATAACACGACACTTGCTAATGGTCCATAGTTTATCTATGATTATTATCTCAAAGTGGAAGAATAGATTCTTGACTTTCATCTGGCGAGTAATGTAACACCCTTCTACCCCAAAGAACATTCACAATAAATATAAGCAATTATATTAGAGTATATCACTGCAAGGGCGCCACATTTCGTCATAAAATCACATTAACGTCTTACTCCGTAACACGGGTTCTGTCGACACAAATTAAATCAAATACTACGCAGCGGAAGATTACATTTCAACATAAATTGTAACTCAAAAGTCTTAAAACAAAAAAGCCATAGTATCATGAGGTCAACAACAAAAAGAACACAGTGGTTCGACTCAAACGTCCCGACCCGATGTTACATATCAGAGCAAGACTCTCTAATCAACAGAAATGACCAAAATACTTCAAGGCTAAGTCTTCACGCACCAAAAGAGCTAATCTTGATCACCTACACGTTACCCACGCGGAGGCAACATTCAAACAGGCAGGATGAGTGATCACAAATCATTATACAAGATATAAAGATAAGATATATTAAGCTAGCATTCATCATACAAAACCAACATCATCATGAAATACATACATCATCATTTACCAAGTATTATACTCACACTTTCATATCATAGTATCATATATACGTCTTTATTCATAAAGTCATCAAATCAACAACTCATCTCAAAATATCGTTCAAGTCACAACATTATCACACGTCATTTTAAGATCACCTCATCAATAATAACAGTCATTCACATAGATGCAATGCCACATAACATGAAATGCAACAACATAGACTCATGCATGTGGTACCGAATCAACATGTTTGATGGACACCAGGCCATCACCCTCCAAAGATCCCCACCAATAGGATCGATTCTACATAAGAACTAGAGAACAACATAAACACCTCAATCCACACCATGGGATTGAAGCCAACACTGGACCGAAGTCCTAGCAACAACACTGGACCGAAGTTCTACTATGCTATGAAGGCATGATG